TTCCACTTTTTTGAGGGTCCATGAGCCTTTAATGTAAAAATTAAAAATTGAGCAAACCTAGTCGTGTTGGGGCTCATTTTGAAGCGCTAAACCTGAAGGTTTTGAAATTGTTTGTTTCAGTAAGGGTAATAGAGAATTGACGGTAGTTTGAAATTTTGAATATTTTGAACATTTTCAAAACCTGAGCTTGTTTATACTCATTTTGAGACTCTCTTCAAGCCAAAATCAAATTTCAGACTCTCCCAACTCTCGTGCGAACTCGTCGGCCGTCTGGACGACTCAAATGGAGCCGCTGCGAATACAGTAAGACTCAGCTTAGACTCCATCACTCAGCGTTGGGATAACTTGGTGGCCCGTATAGAGGAGCACGGAAAAACACTGGTTAAATCCGGAAAGGCAGACGTTCGGCAAGTAGAAGCGCCCAAAAATGAGCCAGTGTCTTCAGAAGGTCTCAGTACGGATACCGAAGGAGAGGAGCAGAAGAATCAGCTCGTTGATAAGTTCTTGCTCCACATTTCAAAGCTCTCCCACGAGTTGGAACCCCTTCAAGAGTGGTCCGAGAAATTTGAGGTGTCCCGGAAACGAGATGACGTTCGGAAAATGATGAATACGTGTCAGGAGAAATTGATACAGATCAAAGAGCAAGAAGCGAGAGTTAACAGGCTCCAACTGGAGCTTGAACATCTCCACGTGGCAAAATTGAATGCCAAGCAGCTCAAAAGAGCAAACGACGCGTTTGAGCAGTTTGCAAAGGGTTGGGCGCGCATTGTCACAAAAATTAGTGAGGCTATGAATGTGCTCACGGGGCAAGAGGAGAGTGGGAACAATGAGGAAGCGGCGGTAGCGTCGAAAATTGAGCAATGGATTGAGGCGGTGGATAAGTGAGTTTTTTCTCTTTAAGAAGTCAGAATATCCAAAAATTGGTAGCATTTTCGGATTTCTCGGTCTTTTTTTCTCCTAGGCGTCATTTTTGTAGCTTATTTAGTCCATTTGGAGCCCATTTAGAGCAAGTGTCGTAAGATTTGGTGTTTGATACGCAATTCTCAAAATTTGAGCCAGAACATTACTTAAAAGTCCTAATACTGAGAAATTAATCAAATTTTCAAACTCCCCGTGCCTTGTTACCCTATGATACCAATTTTGAGAGCATTTAGCCCAAGTGTCGTAAGGCTCGGTGTTTGGTCTGCTCTTCTCGGATTTTGAATCAAAACACCCGTTAAAAATCGGAATTTTTAAAAAATAATAACATTTTCGAATTTCCCGCCCTTTTTTACACCTGGACACAAATTTTGAGCGAGTTTTGAGCAAGTGTCTTGACGCGTGAAGCGTTTTAAAATGAGTATAAACACGACTAGGATTGCTCATTTTTGGAAATTGACCTTTTTTCGAGGGTCCATGCGCCTTTAAAGACAAATTTCAAAACTTTTCAATGTGGGTTATGACTAGATTCATTTTGAAGCTGACAACAAGACAAATTCAAAAATGCAAAAATTTTCAATCCATCTCTAAGATTGACAGAGATACGGTAGTTTGAAAAATCCAAAGTCTTAAAAAAAAAATTCAAACTACC